TGACATGAACACTTGCCATATGTAATGATGGCACATAGAGCAATGGAACAATTAGCTACTGGGTGTTTGCCAAACTTGCTCATGTTTGGATGTATTAGCTACTAGAGTGCTTGACAAAGTGTAATGATAGAATACTTATATGGCAATATATTTATCTAAACATGTTAACAACATTACATGGAGTGATTTAAAACAAATTAACATAAATTAATCAGGAAACACAAAGTGCAGTAATAAACAAAAAAAGACAAGAAGCATGGAGACAAAGGATTTGAGCTCGACATTAAAAATTAATGGATACGGATATGTAATAACAGACATGGAAGTTATTATTGTAAAATGCAATGTACCTGTTATTTTCATTAATGTTTGTAAGAAAACATTTCGATTTTGACATTGAAACATATGGCAGGTGGTATATTTTTCATGGAAGTAACAAAAAAAAAAGACTCACATATGCCTAGAGACAAAACACAGTTTTACCTGGGGTTTTGAAGAACATAGTCTTACCTCGTGTTTTTCATAAGCATATTGCAAAACATATTTCAACTTGATCAAACTGAAATATTAGTAAGTGTGTAAAATATTAGTAAGCATGTAAGATATTAGTAAGTATGTAAAATATTAGTAAGCATGTAAAATATTAGTGAGTATGTAAAATATTAGTGAGTACGTAAAATATTAGTAAGCATGTACAATATTAGTAAGTATGTAAAATATTAGTAAGTATGTAAAATATTAGTGAGTATGTAAAATATTAGTAAGTACGTAAAGTATTAGTAAGCATGTACAATATTAGTAAGCATGTACAATATTAGTAAGTATGTAAAATATTAGCGAGTATGTAAAATATTAGTGAGTATGTAAAATATTAGTAAGCATGTAAAATATTAGTGAGCATGTAAAATATTAGTAAGCATGTAAAATATTAGTGAGCATGTAAAATATTAGTATATATGTAAAATATTAGTGAGTATGTAAAATATTAGCGAGCATGTAAAATATTAGTAAGCATGTAAATATTAGTAAGTATGTAAAATATTAGTAAGTATATTAAATATTAGTAAGCATGTAAAATATTAGTGAGTATGTAAAATATTAGTAAGTATGTAAAATATTAGTGAGTACGTAAAATATTAGCGAGCATGTAAAATATTAGTAAGTATGTAAAATATTAGTGAGTATATAAAATGATCAGTAAGAAATGAAATTCACAGGAAACAAATGTATACACGCTATGTACATACCCATTGTTTTATTTGGTTATGTTAGGAATATTTTCAGTCATGCAAATTGAAATACTTTTAATAATGCAGACTATAAGTGTAATAAGGGAGGCAAAAGATACCACTTGCATGTTAAAACTTTGTAATTAATTATGTAACTATTATACAACATGTAAATTAATGAAAATTCCTAAAGAAAAACAACGAGAGCGTCGGAATAGTTTAACAGTCGATGGTGAGATTAGTATCACCTAACTTGAGTCAGCTTGCCTATGTAGGAAACTTTTTCAGCCTCATTCTTTCACCCTCATTCTTTCCTACTAAAACCAGGTGTTGTATATGTAACAACCCTACTAAAACCAGGTGCTGTGTATGCCACAATCAAATGGTATTCTAGAAATGAGGCCAGGTTTAAAGTGTAAAGTGTGTTCTCACAGCGTGTCTGTGTCAACAGGGGGTAGCACAATCACAAAGTATCTGATCCAGTGGAAACACAGGAAAGCTCAGGAATCAGCTACTGTGGACATACATTGTATGAGGAAGGTTAAGCTTGAATACATGCTAAACTTGTAGATGTGTCCCTTGACCAGTACCTGATGTCATTATTGGTAGTTGTAACCATGCGTTATGGACCCCTTTAATCTATGCACTTGGCTGAGCCTTTGACCAATTATAATTCAATCGGCTTTGCATTTGAATCTAGACTTTTAGTATTTAAGGTCAAGTTTTGACTATGGTCAGTCTCTTTCTTTCATCAACCAGCTAGTGGTTCTCCTACCTTGTTCTTGAATCCTAAGAAGCATCTCTTTTCTTGTTTGCTGAATCATAAACTTATTTTCCAACTGTGAAGCCTCATAACTTTTCCAGGATATCGAAGACTTCCTCTACATTGAGGGGTTGAGACCAAGGGTGTCAGACTAACTTTTGCCATTAGTGAGCTCATGGATGAAAATGCATTGCTTGCTGATGCATCTAACGTGAGAGAGCTTGCTGAATCAGTGAATGGGTTAGCATTGATGTTCCCTAGGGTCAAGCTGCATGTGATAATTGATGAAGATCCTGGTGCTGCTGGGAAATCTGGTGAGGATCGCAGCATTGGATCACTGGAGTCAATGCTGTTCCAACTGAAGGAGCCAATCCTACCAGTGGCTCAACAAGCAGGGTATATACTATGTTTAATACAGTCCAAGTAACGTTTCCCATCTTAGAATGGGGCACTACCACAAGGAGGAAATGACAGATGTGCTTGCATCATTACAGGACCACTACATCCTGAAGACAAAGAAAATCATTCTATAACTAGCTGAATTCTGAGGGGTGCCAAGTTCTAGGAAGTCAAGGGCCATGTTAACCCAAAGAAGACTTCAGCACCTGTGGAAACTACGTCAAAAGTCATACAAATGAGCCAGCTGGCCCGTGGACTTGTCTCACTTGCGATAAGTAAGGATTTTCTATAGTGGAAAGATTCATAGGACCTACATGGCAAAGAGACATTGGTAACCATCCCAGAGGATAGTAAGGGTGGAGTTTCTGACCAAGATACCTAAGGTTGTAGACAACTGGCCCACGTTAGAGCAATTTCAGTGCTCAAGTGACACTTTTTATTACTTCTGCACTATTAAGTATGAACCTCTACTTTCCAGTGTAAAGTCCAGGTTGTTTCTTTTATCATGTTTTGTATTGTAGTCTTAATGTATTGATATTAAAATATAATTGAAAAGTTTTCTTTTAAAGGATAGTATCTTTAAATTGTTGCTAATGTGAATGAGCTGCAGTTTTTTGTGTCGTCCAGGTGGCATGCACGTGTTCTATGAGCAAAGGAAACTTAATGTATGCTTTAGCCATGGTGTAAGTTTAAAGGTTATAGGTTTTTAAAATTTATTTTCATTCTTGGCTCGAGGTTTTTGTTTGTTTGTTTGTAATTAAGCATAAAACTACACAATGGACTATCTGTACTTTGCCCACCGCGAGTATCGAAACCCGGTTTCTAGCATTGTAAGTCCATAGACATGCCGCTGTGCCACTGGGGGGCAGTGTATTGCTCAAGGACACAATAGAACAACACAAACCAGACTTAAACTCGCAATCATCCGAGTAGATTTTATTTAAGTATTTCTTTGTAAACACAATTATCAATGAAAGTGCCTTGCATTTCTTTTGCAACACTCATGAGATTTTCACTAAAGAGAAACAAATAATTTTTTTAAGCTTGTTTTTGGATTGTTTTATATTTGAAACTTACTCCTATTTGTTTGTAAATTTTATCATTAAATCTGAAACATATAGCATTTTGGAGAAATTTCAATTGTTTTATTTATTGCTCAGTTATAAAAAATACTGCCTAGTTATAAAAATATTACCCAGTTATGATTAGTGATGATTGGTGCGGTAGTTTCCGAGATCCGAGTTTTGGACGTATTCATTGCAAGCTCCATTATAATAAGATAGGATTTTTTGTTAATTTCTCGTTTATTCTAGGATCTATACTGCCTTAGTTTAAGCATGTAGTACAGAAAACCATTAAAATGGTCTTGTTCTAGTTGTTTTGTTTCTTTGCTCTCTTTAATAGATAATATCTATTCTGCCTGAGGGGAAATTGCAGTAATATAGCACGTCCATGTTGAAAGGGTAACTGACCGTAGTATCCTAAAGTTACAAATGGATGATATTTACATGTTACAGCCAGCGAAAATTAGACAGAAAATAAGGATTACGAGGTTACGACTGGAAAAACCGAGTTTACCTGTTGAAATAAAGTGCACTTGGTTCAATTCTATTAGTAGATTTTGAAGTGAAGGTATTATTTTACGATCGTCATGTTTCAGTTCTGCTGAGATTAACGCTGAGGAAGTGAAAGTTGTAACACTAAACACCATCTAGTGGTTAATTTACTGTCGTCGCAAATACTTACAATACGTTTTTTTTTCTTTTTGTAAGAATATTTAAATAAAGATTGAGTTCATTTTTTTCATACTTCTCCAGTATTTTTCTTTTTCACACAGGCTCGAAGGTCAGTCAAGTTTTCAAACACATTCTACCCCACAAACTTCCTGGCCGATCCTGCTGTTATTAGAGGATCTACCTGATACTTGTGTGAAAATCAGTTTATCTCATCACGACTAGGGTTTTTTCTCTCTCTCTATCTTTCAATAAATGCAAGTACTTGGAAAGTAATTCAAATACTCAAGTACGACACCAGGAAAGAAAAGAAATTCTACAACGGTCATAACCTCATCGTAGATTTTCGCGTACTGACAGCCATTTTTTGTGTGTGTATGCAGCATGACGTAAGCTCAACAAACACTATGCAGTGCCTTTCAAAAGTCTTCGCCCCCCCCCCTGTGTTGGTAATCAATTTTAGGAATTTCCTTTCTTTGATTTTCTTACTTATGATGAAAATAATTTTCAGTTTTTGTACTACTCAGGAGCTGGTGTTTATTTATTTGTTGTTAAGCATAAACTGCATAGTGAGCTATCTATTCGGTGTATACTGCACGGATCGAACCTCAAATTCCAGCCTCCTAATTTGCCGCATAGTCAACTTGGAGGTTCATAGCTAGTGAAACCTTTGGAATACAATACCTTGTAGTTTGTATGACTCCCCCTCTCCTTCCCCCCCAAAAAAGACCCAGAATAATTCTCTGTTTATTTCTTTGATATGCTTGCTTAATGTAGTCGTTTAATCGGTCTGACAATGGCTAGAAGGTGAAACTTCTCCCCCCCCCCATATAATAAACAGGAATTATTTACGACAAAGATCAGAAAAAACAACTCTTGTACTAAAATCAATTTTATTATTTTCTCATTACAAAGAACCATACAGAAGTGATTGTTGTATACACTCGAGAAGTACATTTGTTAGTTGTACGAAAATCAATTGTTGGACAGATGTTACTCAGCAATATATTGAAAGATTCACCACTATACAGAAAAAAAAGGGTACACATAAGTTTATACACACGTCATAGGTAATGTGAAGTAAAAATGTTGGTAAAGTCTATATATATGTGTTGGTATCCATCTTCTTGCTGATCCCAGGATCGAACTCGAGAACTACATGAACAAACTAAAGAGTTAACACCTTCACTTAACCTTGTATAACTAGGGCAAGCAAGTTTTAAAACAGAACGCACAATTAATAATACTGTCTACACTTTAGTAGTGTGTTTTCCTGATTGGAGTAACCGATCCTAAGTCAAAATATCTTCAGCCAATCATAGCACTGCTTTAACTGTAATGTTGCCCTCGACTAAGTAACAGTATTAATAAAATCAATAAATGTAGTTAGAAAAAGGTAATTCGCTTTTTAAAAACGACAGCAATTCTATTGGCAAGACGTGAAACAATAATTGTTAGCGTTTAACAACCAACACCCGAAGTAAGTTCCATTTTGTAACGTTTGGAAAAAATTCTCGTGTGACTGTGACCAAAAAAAGAAAATAGATTATAGTATTATATACAACATTTGGGTGAAAAAAGCAATGATATAAAGACCTAGCTCTCTCTCTTGGAGAGAGGAAATCATGATTCTTGTGTTTAGTTTCTCTTCCACACACACACACGAACATTAGTTGAGGATGCCCAGCGACGTATATCGTCTTCAACAGTATTTGTTCACATAAGCTCTAGATAGACGTTTCAAGGGTGGGCTTATTACTTAAATTGGACTGTCTACTTCCATAGTGGGAAGATTTGACTGATGGTATGTCATATAGATTTTCCCTCCGATTCTCAATTGGAGACTTGGACGCGGCTCTTTTGAGCTCTAAGGTTGATGCTGTACTATTAGACCATGACTCAGAACCGTTATTTGTTGAGTGTTGTTTCAACTGGTCAAACGGGAAAGGTTCCCCATAAGCCCAATAGGTGGGGCTTATCGGAACGATGCTGTCTGTCGCCTCGCTCTCAACTTTAGAGTCAGTGAAGCTACCATAGTCGTCTGAATCATCTGAATCCAATGCTGGATTCCTAGTTTCATATATCACAAACTTATTTTCATCCAAGAATTTAGTGGTGGGTTCTCTCTCCAACGAATCCAAGTTATTCACTTTAACTTGCTGTTTGTTACTTGTAGGTACCTTAGTTCTTCGCTCACTCCTCCTGGCGTGGCCCAGCCCTGTGTGCAGCTTATCTTGTCGTCTCTTCTTCTCCTGGAGACGGTGTCTAGATTTCCAGAGAGCACAAAGAGCAAGCAGTATTACAAGAAAGGACATTGCTGTCATCACGGAGACGAAGGCGGTTCCTATGACGCTCGTGTACCAGTATTGGATAGATACTAATATGTTTGGATCTGTAACGTAAATACAAAAAAAAAATATAACCATTACATTGGTCAAGTAATTTACACAATAATTCTTACATAAAACAAAAACTAGAGGACGCAACTAGCTAACAAATAATAAAACTGTTCTGTAAGAAATAAGAAGAAACAAATGGTTGTTTTCAGGCAACAATAAAAAATGTGGACCATTCAACAAGACCCAAACTTCTAAACTTAAATAAAGTTTACAGTTTATTACCCTTGATACTACATGACTCATAGCTTCCTAACTGATTCTACATAACTTATAGCTTCCTAAATGATACTACATGACTTATAGCTTCCTAACTGATACTACATAACTCATAGCTTCCTAAATGATACTACATGACTCATAGCTTCCAAACTGATTCTACCTTAGCTTCCTAACTGATACTACATTAGCTTTCTAACTGATACTACATGACTCATAGCTTCCTAACTGATACTACATGACTCATAGCTTCCTAACTGATACTACACGACTCATAATTTTCTAACTGATACTACATTACTTATATCTTCCTAACTGATAATACGTGACTTATAGCTTCCTAACGGATAATACGTGACTTATAGCTTCCTAACCGATACTACATGACTTATTGCTTCTTAACTGATACTACATGACTTATAGCTTCCTAACTGATACTACATGACTTATAGCTTCCTAACTGATACTACATTAGCTTCCTAACTGATACTTCATGACTCATAGCTTCTTAACTGATACTACATTACTTATAGCTTCCTAACTGATACTACATTAGCTTCGTAACTGATACTACATGACTCATAGCTTTCTAACTGATACTGCATTAGCTTCGTAACTGATACTTCATGACTTATAGCTCCCTAACTGATACTACATGACTCATATTTTCCTAACAGATACTATATGACTCATAATTTCCTAACTGATACTACACGACTCACAATTTTCTAACTGATACTACATTACTTATAGCTCCCTAACTGATACTACATGACTTATAGCTTCCTAACTGATATTACATGACTTATAGCTTCTTAACTGATACTACATGACTTATTGCTTCCTAAATGATACTACATTAGCTTCCTAACTGATACTACATTAGCTTTCTAACTGATACTACATGACTCATAGCTTCCTAACTGATACTACATGACTCATAGCTTCTTAACTGATACTACACGACTCATTACTTCCTAACTGATACTACACGACTCATTGCTTTCCTAACTGATACTACACGACTCACAATTTTATAACTGATACTACAAGACTTATAGCTTCCTAACTGATAATACATGACTCATACTTCCTAACTGATACTACATGACTCATACTTTCCTAACTGATACTACGCAATTCACAATTTTCTAACTGATACTACATTACTTATTGCTTCCTAACCGATACTACATGACCTATTGCTTCTTAACTGATACTACATTACTTATAGCTTCCTAACTGATACTACATGACTTATAGCTTCCTAACTGATGCTACACGACTCACAATTTTCTAACTGATACTACATTACTTATTGCTTCCTAACCGATACTACATGACCTATTGCTTCTTAACTGATACTACATTACTTATAGCTTCCTAACTGATACTGCATGACTTATAGCTTCCTAACTGATGCTACACGACTCATAAGTTTCTAACTGATACTACATGACTCATAATTTTCTACCTGATACTACATGACTCATAATTTTCTACCTGATACTACATGACTCATAATTTTCTACCTGATACTACATGACTCATACTTTCCTAACTGATACTCGACGTTTTGTGATTTATATACCTGCGTCTACTTGGCTTGTAACACAAATCAGCAGAACTTTACAACAAGATTAAATCAGTAACAGTTTAATTACTGTGTTTTAAACCGATTAGGCTCCACAGGTTCTCAAGTTTGTATTCCAGGAGAAACTTCTGAGAGACACGACAAAAAAGCCAGTTTTCTCAGCAAAACGTGAAAAGAATTCAGCTTTATTTCAATATAAAAAGGTCAAAAGTTCCGAGTTTTAATTCTTATACTTTCCACTTTAAGATCAGTCATTAAATTTTAAAGCTTAAAAGATGTGCAGAATATTATCACACAAAAGGTTAAGAAATGTGATGTAATTTCAGAAACAAATGATATATCTCTTCAAAAAGGCAGAGAACAATGATTAGATGTAGTTCATTATGGCATAAAAAAGGAGTACAAAACATGGTTCAGATTTAGTCGTATGTCATTAGAAGGGTTAGAAGCTAGAGTATAAACTTAGTCCCATGTCACAATAGAAGGATTAGGAACAACGGTATGGACTTAGTCGTATGCCAACTTAGTAGGGCTGGGAGATGAGTGGAGATTTAGTCATATGTCACATTAATAGAGTTGAAAGATGGAGTAGAGTTTTAGTGGTATGTCACGTTACAAGAGTTGGGAGATGGAGTAGAGATTTAGTGATATGTCACGTCACAAGAGTTGAGAGATGGAGTAGAGATTTAGTGGTATGTCACGTTACAAGGGTTGAGAGTTGAGGTAGAAATTTAGTTGTATGTCACGTCACAAGAGTTGAGAGATGGAGTAGAGATTTAGTGGTATGTCACGTTACAAGGGTTGAGAGTTGAGGTAGAAATTTAGTTGTATGTCACGTTAACAGGGTTGAGAGCTGAGGTAGAAATTTAGTGGTATGTCACGTTACAAGGGTTGAGAGCTGAGGTAGAGATTTAGTGGTATGTCACGCTACAAGAGTTGAGAAATGGAGTAGAGATTTAGTGGTTGTCACGTTACAAGGGTTGAGAGATTGAGTAGAGATTTGGTGGTTGTCACGCTACAAGAGTTGAGAGATGGAGTAGAAATTTAGTGGTTGTCACGTTACAAGAATTGAGAGACGGTGTAAAGATTTAGTGGTATGTCACGTCACAAAGGTTGAGAGATGGAGTAGATATTTAGTGGTATGTCGCGTTACAAGAGTTGAGAGATGAGTAGAGATTTAGTGGTATGTCACGTTACAAGAGTTGAGAGATGGGTAGAGATTTAGTGGTATGTCACGTTACAAGAGTTGAGATA